TGACCATGAGGGAGGGGTAAGGTATACCAAGTTTGATCTATTCTGTGTACATGTAAACAGGTTCTTATTTTATGGTAAATGGACAACGTTGTTATTTAAATTGTATTTGAAAATACAAGCGATAATAACAGTTAGGAGTTGGGATAGCTTACATGTATGTGTGTATCGCAAAAAAGGCTTCAGTATCAGTCTATAAGTGAGAAAAGACTGACCCGATCCCCACCGACTCTGAATTGGTGTTTGCCAGGGGTAGGGGAGTTCCTGGAATGATACCAGTACCAGTATAAAATGAAAATTTTAATTAAAAAAAAAATTAACTGCCGATTTTCCATAAATACAGTTTTTCATTTAACACGTAGGATACATGAAATCTCGAATTTGAGAATTTGATAATGACAGGTAGGACTTGGTATTGTGCAAATGAAGAAGTGGAGACGCTCGTGGTAAGATCGACCGAGGAAATTAAATGCTTATTTTGAAATGCTAAATATAAAAACATTTCTGGAGTATTTTTAGGCCCGTCATATTCTAAAATATATTCTTTTAAATTACTTAAATGGTTTCAGAAACGTGATTTAAAAGTTGATTTCCCACAAATGCAGATCGAGTACCATTTGACACGTAAGATGTATTTAATCTCGAATTTGATAGAACGTAGAAAAGTGATTTAATTATTTAGCGATTGAGGGTTTTATGGTGAACGTTTACCACAAAAGAAGCTTTCTGGCTCAGTTTTTTCATTAGATATGCGACGTCTTTGCTATTTCCATCATATTTTACCTCAGCTCCCAAACACTAATTAAAATCTTCAGATAAATCAGAATATATTGGAAAAGAGAAATGGCAACATATGGCCGTTGAAATTAAATTTTTACCTGTCGTGAATTATAATAGCGTGACTGAGAGATGGACAAATCAAAAACCCGCAACGCACTTCTTTCAATTGCTTAGACAGCACCATGAAACGGCTTAAACAAATATAGAATTGGTCAGAAATAGAAAAACAACATTAAGAATATAATAAAATTTGCATTTCTTAGATTTGCTTCTACACTTGTATTGATTTTTAAAATCCCCCACCTATTCAGGTACCAGTAGAAAATGTAGTTTAAAGTCAATGCGGGCCTTATCTTGTAGTATGTAGTATTAGGGACATGAACGACAGGCACTCTTTATTCGTGATATGTGAGGATTTGTAAAATTAAGGCTCAATTATGGCTCAATTTGTGGAATTATGAAGTTTTATTTTGCAGTTTCTTAATACGACGGCGGATTTACAGAGCGATTCATTCCCGATAATGTATGTATATGTATTCATTGGATAAATGAACCTTTCTCTTATTTTATTTACATTACGGTCATGGTAACCAAATCGATTTAGAAACACTATTAACTATATACATACAATTTACCAGTGAACTGGGTCTATTTATGAACCCGTGGCTTTTAAAAGGATTACGAACATTATATTTTGTTCTCACTATTTTCTTAAATATTTATTTTAAAGGTTACTTGAATCTCATTCCATTTTAATAATTTACCTTTATGTTTCATATATACATGTACGTGTACATTTAGAAATATTACTAAATATTAATTATTTCAATCTATGAAATGTGATGAAATTCATACCGTAAAGAGAACGATGGCAAAGCACATAACTCTAACTGAACATATAAATGGTATGATGTCACGCATGTGCAGCGTGCGCGTATGGGGGGTAATAAGAATTTTAATTGAAAAATTAAGCCTTACGAAACCTTCCCACAGAATTTTCTGCCAAAGACGGCTGACACCCGCATTAATTAAGATAGAATGTCTTCAAAAATACTAAATATTTCAAACATGAGGTAAAATCACTGCTCAAGAATCTATCTCGGGGTTCTTTGTGGTTTAATTAAGAAAGATTTCTCGATTTTAGTGGATTTTCTGAAGTCTCCTTGGGGTGGGGGTGGGGGGCAGCAACAAGACATCAATACTCAAGAATTATTGATGTATATTGTTGATGTGAGTGGACAACACTTTTAATGGTCCCCTCATATGATTATTTATGTCAAATATCTGGGATGACATTAAGTTAGTAAATCATAACTCATTGAGCAACATATTTGTTATATTGTGAGGCATTAAAACTGGTCGATTGAGAAAGAAAAGACGTAGGGATGGGCTAACCTCAAAGACATTACTTTATCATAAAATAGGGTTGACTGGTAAATTTGTACACCTCTATAATATATTGCAGTTTCACCCAGGTCTTAATGTTTAAAGTGTCTTTAATGTCTAGATTAGTATTGTAGTAGATGAGCAATTTACGACTTAGAATGTATTTATATGAAACATTTGAACTATATTCAGACCCGTAGCTAGCAATTTTAGAAGGGGGTTCTTTTTCTGAAAAAAAAAGTGGAACCTCTGTGTGCTTAGATCAAATTTGACTAAGAGGAAACCTTTTCCCGGCAAAAAGGGCGGTTTGTTCGAACCTTGAGATGAACCTTGAGATTTTTCTCTCTCTCTCTTACTTTCTTTTATTCTTTATTTTTATTTGTAAAACCCACAACACTTCTGCATCAAATTACGCACGTTGATAGAACGCGCATGGGCACCCAGTTTGCCAACGAGGAGAAATTGCTGCGTGCCCACCTTTAAAAGTTGTATAAATAAGAAGAACAGAGGGAAGAATATCGCAGTTGCCTTCTGCTACACATTCCTTCTGGTACGCATTAGGCAAGAAAAGAAAGTCTTGAAGATGACAGGACAAGGAGGCATGGCCGTGCTTCTGATCATCGCTTTGACAAAAGTGACATCCGTTACTGGCGCGGGTCCCATCCCTCTTACACCGGAGGAAGAGGCTCAAAGAGAAAATGCAACGGCTGCTATGGCTGACCTTCCTCCTGAAGATCAGATGGAACTGCCCGCCGGTCCAGTAGGTAAGTTACAATTTTCACTAAGATTGTAAACTAAACCGAATATGAAAATGAATATAATAAATAAAGTCATCCAGGCATTTAAAATAAATTAAAACTAGAAATTATAAACTAAAAGACCAAAGCTTTAAAACAAGAAAAACAAGAGCTATAAAACAAGAATTATAAGATATTATTATATTATAATTTGGAGCAGTATTTTACATGAAATGTAAAAGACTGTGCAAAGTATGATTTAAAACGCTCCGTTTTCATTCTTGGTATTAAAATTTGTTGCTGACCCTGAGATTTCTTGGCTTCTTTTCTTTAAACAGATGGTGTAACTTATCAAAATTCTTATCAAAATTTGTGCAATAGTTCTTGAATAAAACGTCTCTTCTCTCCCTCAGAGAGGTGCGATTACTAGTTTGTAGGGCATCCTTGTAAGAATAAAATGGGTAAATAATTCTAAGAGCTCTCCTTTGAACAGTTTCTAAGCATCCACATTGTTCGGCTGTAAGACCAGGCCCCCACACAGGGCATGCACATTCTAGGACTGATCTAATTATTGATTGATATATAACTATTAGATCCTCAGTGTTCAGATTTGCCCTTCTTCAACTGCCTGAGATATAAAAAGCTTGGTACAAGACTTGGGATAAATCAACTGCACATGTTCTGTCCACTTGAGACCAGGGGTCAGAGTTACTCCTAGTAGCTTAAATTTACTCACTTTTTTGACAATTTCTCCATCTACCAATAGTGTTAGGATGGTATCTATACATTTGGTAAAGTTAAAATCCATACATTTTGTCTTCTTAACGTTCAAGTTCATATTGTTTTTTCTAACCCTATTTTCAAGTTGCTCTGTTGCCTGTGGAAGTAGTGACTTTTGGCCAAACTGACAAATCTCATAAATAGATGAGTCATCAATTTTATATCTGGGCAGCAGGTTTTTAGATCATTTATCGTTGCTATAAACAGGGTTGGATCTAACTTTGTCCCCTGAGGTACCCCTCCATTAAACCGAACCCAGTCAGATTTACACTGACCACATTTCACTCTATGATACCTTTAGCATACAAAGGAGTACATGTAAATCCACTTTCCCCTGACTGCCCAGTTTTTCAATTAAGATGCTGTGGTCTATTCTGTCGAACGCCTTAGAAAAATCTGAAAAAAAAAAAAACTTGGGAATAAGATTTGGTTTTAGCAGATGGTTCACGACCTTCTAGTACTTTGTGAGTCAGCTCTAGCAGAGCGTGGGTAGTAGAGCTATTTTGAACTACTCCAAATTGGGACCTATCGATTTGCAGGCCACCCATCACCCATTTTGCCACAAATGACTCCAATATTTTACTCAACACTGGTGTAAGCGATATTGGTCTAAGATCAGCCTCTATCAGTTTTGGTTGGTTAATTTTGAAATGTATAAAGAATGCTATTTAAATTTATAAATATTATATAATTAAAGTAGATAAAAGTCGATCAAATAATTAAAGAATAGTTTCTAAAGATCTGGCAGTTCTAAATTACTGGAAGGCCTCGACATCTATGCATTGTCAATCTTTAACTTACTCAAAATCACCTGATGTCAGGGAAGGCTATGCAAACTTCCGTTAAGTTATTTTACGTGTTGGCAAAAATGGTATTACACCTTTATTGCAGCTTTTGACAAGTTTGGTCATCTAAAGCACTGATAATCTGTTATATATGTAGTATGTTATATATTATGGAGTATAAGATTCAAATTTCAAGTTCTCAAAAGTGTGTTTCGCGAAAATTTTGAGTCGTCAGTATCATTTTTACATATTCCAGATGAAATACAATCTACTTACGCCATCGGCGTCGTTTGCCGTTCAGGGAATCCCCTGCACGGTGCATGTGTCAAGAGCGGAATCTCCATTTTAGTCTAGTGAGATTTTTGAAAAAAGGCTCTGCATAAGAGGCAAGGGGCATTTTGGGGTAAAAGTTGGGAACCAGGCTTATTAGCATAATTTTGGGATGCTGATTCCAATTAACCCGGTTCCCAAGCGAAATTTTGCGTTTTTAACGGTCGAATTCGNGAAAAAATTCGTTGATCTTTTTTACTAGAACCTGGTAATTACCATTTGATGTGCTATCAGCAAGTGACTCTAATGAACATTTATTGTTATTCAAACCTGCTAGCTCTTTGGATTTCTTCCACCAAGTGGAAGAGTCAGACTGTTTTAGTGATTCTATTTTGTTTTTGTAAAACGATGATTTCAGTTTCTTATTGGTTCTGTTAACTTTGTTTCTGATGCTATGTGAGAGTTTGGTGTCTCCCTCTCTGAAAGCTTTCTGGCGCTGTTTGATAAGATCCTTGAAGTCGGTGGTTATCCAGGGTTTGTCGGTAGTGTGTCTTGTGGATTCTTTTATTGGGAGGTACGTATCAAGGAGCTCATTCATTGTCTTTTCAAAGTATTGAAACTGCTCGGAACATGAGTTCATTCTAAAAAGTGGTGTCCAGTCAATTTTTATAAGTTCTCCGGCAAAAATAATTTTCTCATTTTTTCCTGATGTACGAGAGTAGGTCTTTTCCACTCTGCCTCGGGGGATACGGTTGTGATTTTCTGGTAAGGACAGAACTGCATTGTGATCGGAGGAGCCTATGGATGGTAAAATTTCGGGCTCTTTGTAGAATTGTAGTATATTTCAAGAATCAAAATAATCCACCTAAAAGTATTTTATGAAGAGCACTGTGGCGTTGTTTTTTAATTTATGTAGAAGAGTTCGATTAGTAAACAACGAGAAAAACATTTGGCCTTAATGAAAAAGAAGCACTTAACTTGCCATGGAAATCCCAAGATTGCCACCATAATAAAATCTGCAAAAATGTCATTTCTGCATTCCTTAAAATTCGATTTGAATTTAATACACGTACATACAAGCTTTTTCGTCAACTCAGACTCTTATTTAAGTTATTGTAACTAACGGCAGCATCGTGAGATGGTCATGCAGTCCCTATACTGCTGCCCCGTCAAGGAGCTTCCATGATAACTCATCACATGTGGAGACCCGCAAAAGTTTCTCAGAGCTCACATAGTCAATCAGTTTACATTTTACAATTAAATATTACTTGTACATTGTTGTTGTTTTCAGAGAAATATTCCCGTTAGCATACGTTTAATTTTTTTTTTACACAGGCAACAATTTTGTTCAGTTTGATAAACTTAAGAAGTTAATCATGTGCATACATGTCCATTTCACCATGTTCAATGTTGAGTGGGAAATTGTTTATAAAGAGAAAAAAATAAGGACAGATCCTTGATGCGACGGCCATAGGATCAGAGCGGTGATTTCGAAATAAAGTTTGTTGTTTTCTGTCAGTGAAATAAGTTGCACACTGGTACAGTTCTAGTTTCTTTATAAGGACATCATCATGTTGGCTATATCAAATACTTTCCGTAGTTCTATTAAAATAACACCATATCCCCAGCTATATTAACTACTTTTTAAACGTCATGGCAAAAATCAAATAAGTCAAATTAAATAAGTAATTTCTAGGTTATATACTTAAACGTGAGAATTTTGCATTGGTTAGTTCCAACAACGAGCTCCCCCTTATTGTTGATAGCGATTATCATAGGTTCCATAATGCCGTCTTGCCTTGTCAGAATATTACGTACAAATTTTCCATCTGAATCAAGGACAGCCACATTGCCATTAAAGCAGTCAGCTATGAATATGTGTCCAAACTTATCTACGCACACCCCGCTTGGATAACTCACTTGTCCCTCCATACTTCCACTCCGACCCCTTGCTCCGTATTCGAATATTACGTCACCCTGGAGCGTAACAGCATACACACAGTGGGCCCTGCAGTCACTAACTAAGACAGCACTTATGGCATGATGGTATACGCATTGCAGTCTAACGTTTCTGCACATCGGGATATCGATTTTGTTAAGAAGAATAAAAGACACCATATCATACATACAAATGCACTTTGTACCGCCATCACACACGTAAACCTTTCCCTCTGTACGGTCCACAGTGACACCCCAGGGTCGCCACATGTCACCCTGACCAAAACATTGGCAAACACGACCTGAGGTTGAATACAGTCTACAGCAATCATCTCCGCAAGTGACCACAAATCTATCGTTACTGAGTGCAGTGATTCGCCTCGCGCCTCCCTCTATATTGATCTCACGGTTACACCGGCCCGTGTTAGAGAACATGGCCACTGTAGCACCATGTACTACAAACATGCATCCATCAGCTGCAAATGTTATATCCCAAGGATAATCTTTCATAGAAAAACAATGAACCTGTCTTGGCTTCTGTAGCCATGTTGGTTTCGGATATACATGTAGTGCCAATTCTTGATGGCGTGCTCTAGCTTTTTTCAAACTTCCGAAACATGCATCAAAGGGACCCTGAAACGTTTTGGCGGTAATGGGTCCCGTTTTATTAGACAACGGCCTTGGCTCAGGAATTTCAGGGAACTGTAGTGTGTGTTTCGTTTTTGCTCGACATGGTGTCTTGGTATAAATGGATGGTTTTCTTCTGTAGAACGCCAGCAGTTCGCTGGGCTGTTTTTCGCAGTGTTGAATTGAATCTAATTCCTGGCGTAATTGTGCCTGTATTTTGGCTGCGGTCGTCGACAAGTCGAGTGTGGGCAAATGCACAAACTGGTGCCCATTTAAAGCCGGTATTTTGTCATGGATGACACGACATGTATCACACAGTAGATTGGTCTTAGGACATCCTTGGCACAATAAAGTGGCCTCTTTATGATCACAGTATTCACAAAGTCTCCCCTGGGGCACTGTATGACCTCGCATGAACTCTTTTACTTTTTTTAGAAAGAAGTTTTTCACGAGAGTTTGTAACCCACCTGGTGGTATGGGGGCCTCGTGGCGACATACGGGACAGGAAAACTTGTTCTGGACCCCATTCCTGGCTGCATGATCAGCTATGCATTCCAGGCAGAACGTGTGGTAGCAGGGGAGCACTCTCGGGTCTTTATATTCCTCTAGACATAAATGACATGTTAAAAAGTTCTCACTGAAGACATCGTAGAGCTCTTTTGAAGCCATTCCCTTGATTTGCCATCCAAAGGAATGCTCAGTGCCCCATACATCCGACCGCCTTGATTTTACTGCTGCCAAAGCCATGGCGCGAGTTTTTATCGCTTGATAGGTCATCTTAAACAAACTTGTAGTGATTGAGATGCCTAGCGATCGACGAACTATGTAACTGGGTCATGCTGTCTGTAACCGCATAGGTATCAAAAAATAAAACTAGGCTAAGTTTGTTTTCTGCTTTTCTGTGTGTAAACAAACTTTAAGACTGGCCTACTTTATTTTGTTTAGGATGGCTGTGTGTGAAGCATATATTCAATACTCTTGCATACCCCCCAGGTACCTATAGAGACGGTATATGGCCATGGCGATATGACCCTCATGCCACTGTAGTGAGCTGTCCTTCGGAAAAATCAGATAAGACATCGATAAAGTCTAGACATTCTATAGATGTATCTAGGCAGAGACCCTCAGAATACTGTAAACCGATTGCTATTGATTATTTGATCATTTTTGCCTTAAAAGAACACCATGGAAGGTGTCTAATGGGTCATTTCACGTCCCTTTTTTATTGGGGGGGGGGGAAGGGGGTCCACTGGACTGGATTCAGTTTATAAATTTTGTTAACATTTTTTCAACTTCAGTGGGGAATATCGCTCACTTACTAGACTAATGTACGGTGGCATATGATTTTGTAAAACAAAAATCATTTTTACAAGATGTTAATGAAGACACTAAGTTTGAAATACATTGTACCTGTATCCAGTCGTTTAGTGACATATTTAGATCAAAGTCAGTTATATGCAAAGTTTTTTTTTTTTTTTTTTTGCTTCAGTTACGACTTGTTTATGAACAGAAAACAAAATTAAAAGACTTAAATAAAGAAATTTATCTGGTTGAGTTTTCTAGCCTTGAGTCATGGATCCATAAAACAGACGGTGTAAGACACGATTTAATTATTATAAAGGGGGTATGGCTAATTTCAATGCTGTAAACATTGAAAAAATGAGAAACAATTTATCTATTTAATGTATAAATTTATTAAGAACTGGCAAACTTCTTGAAATATAAATATTCCTTGTCGGTGCTGAGTACATTTACAGTTTCTGCACAGTGTATGTGTCGCATGACATTTTCCCGCAAAGGAAATCCAACGTTTTAGACACTATCACTGTGTGAAATCAGTTAAGTCATATTTTATCTATATAACTAAACGTGAATACTGCACATTCGTTTGTTCCAACAACAAGTTCCCCATTTCTGTTGACGGCGACGCGCATGGGACGGACTATGTTGTCATGTTTCCTTGTCAGGACGTTACGTATATATTTGCCATCTGAACCAAGGACAAGCACCTTGTGATTACAGCAGTCCGCTATGAATATGTGTCTAAACTTATCTACGCAGACTCCGAATGGCTGACTCAGTCGTCCCTCTTCACTAACACTCTGACCTCTTGCTCCGTATTGGAATAGGACGTCACCACCGGGTGTCACTGCATACACACAGTGGGCGCTGTTTTCCAAGACTATGACTGCCTTGATGCCGTGGTGGTATTCACACTGAAGTGCAATACAAGTGCACATTGGGATAGCGATTTTGTTAACAAGATTAAATGATTCCGTATCATACACACAAATGCACTTTGTGCCGCTATCACACACAAATACCTTTCCCTCTGTTCGATCCACTGTGACACCCCAGGGTCGCGACATATCACCCTCACCAAAACATTGGATAACCTGACCTGAGGTAGAATACAGTCTACAACATTTATCCCGGCATGAGGCCACGAACATATCGTTACTTGTTGCAGTGATACAATACGCTTCGCCCTCTATTCTGATCACACGAGTGAGTTGACCTGTGTTGGAGTGTACAGCCACGAAAACACCATTTTCCCGTAGAATTAAAATGCACTCGTCATCTGTGCAAGTAATATCCCAAGGCTTATACATAATCGGAAAACAGAGAGTTTCTTTAGGCGTGTCTAGCCATGTGGGTTTCTGAAATATTTGCAGTTTGGTACGGCGTGCTGACTTTGGTTTCAAACTTCCAAAACATGCATCCAAGGGACCCCAGTGTATTTTGGCCGTAATGGACCCCGTTTTGACGGACAACGGTCCTGGTTCAGGAAGTTCAGGACACTCTACTGTATGTTCCGTTTTGGCTGGACCCGGTGTTAATGATGATGTTAATGCCTTGGTATCAAATGAAGGTTCCGTTGCCTGTAGCTCCAACATTTTAGCTTCGAGGTTTTTAGCATGGGTCAACACGTCGATGTCAGAACCGGTGTCTATAAGCTGCAGAGCAAAATGACGAATGCTTTCAAAACAAATCTTCTTCCTTTCTTGCTTGTCCTTTTCAACTTCCAAGGTTTTCATCTGGGCGGAGGTAAATGCCTTAACTTCTGCCGATATATTGTTGCTTTCGTTATCTACAAGTCGCTGCAGTTTGCTAAAATCGGACAGAACCTTTGCTTCGTATGCTTCCAAATGCTGTTTGACATCTGCTAAGTAATCGTCCGTCTGTGCACGTACGTCTTGCTCTACTTGTTGGTAGTATGCAGCCAAATCTTCCATAAGTGTCTTTCGGTTTTCTTCAATCTCCATGGTGATACTAAGTCTTTGTGAATCCACTTGGCGGAGAATACGTGTCTGATTTTCTGTCAGTTTCTCTTGAGTTCGAACGAAGAACTCTTCCGCCTTTTCAAAACGAGACAATTTTTCATGTGGAAGACATTTGAGGTGCTCTTGTATTTGATCCCGCTGCACTTTCACTACATCACTTAATTTTTTAAAATCGTGTTTGCTGTGGAATTCTGCAACGCATTCCTCACATATGACAGAGCCATCGTTTTCACAATAGAACGCCAGAGGTTCGCTGGGATGCTTTTTGCAGTGCTTATCTGTAACTAATTCTTGGCTTGATTGTTCCTGCATATTGGATGGGTCGACAGGTCGAGTTGGTGATGTCCATTTAATGCTGGTATATTTTCATGGGTGACACGGCATGTAACACACAGGAAGTTGCTCTTGGGACATCCTTGGCACAATAAGGTGGCTTTTTGGAGAACACAGTATTCACAGTAGTCACTCCTTAGGCGCTCTACTGCAAGTCTATTGCTTTACCTAAGAAGAAGTTTTTCACGAGAGTTTCTAACCAACCTGGTGGTACGGGGACCTCGTGGCGACAGACTGGACAGGAGATCTTGTGCTGGACACCATTTTTGACTGCATGATCAGCTATACATGCCAGGCAGAAGGAGTGGTAGCAGGGGAGCATGCACTCTCACGTCTTTATATCCTTCAAAGCATAAACGACATGTTAAAAAGTTCTTTGAAGTTATTGCCGTTACTATATATACTTCTAAGAAACTCCGACCGTTTCACTCTGCTACCAAAGCCTTGACGCATGCTTATTTATCGTTTGATCGGTTATCGCAAGTTCTTTAAAAATTGAACCTGATCGGCGCATTACAATCAGGTCTTGTTGTCAGTAACCAAGACGTTATCGAAGTCTCAGCTGCAGCAGCTGTGTAATCTACTTTATCAGCCATTAATACGCTGTAAGACTTGACATATACTGTATGGGGACATTCAGGGTATACTGATATGTGTGTCCTCATAAAAGCGGTTGTTGTTAAAGAATTAATGAACCACGGTTTTTTTTACCGTATGTGAACAATGAGGAGCATTTAAGAAATAATAAAAAAAGTCTTTACCCCGGAAGAAATATATTTGATATACGAATATATTTTGGGTATAGAACTACGATTTGCCCTGCTGTTCAACCAGTCCATACATGTATGGGCAGGCTTCAGTGAAGTCTGAAAACCCCACGCCGCTGTACCATTCCCTTAAAAGAATACTGATATAAACTATATATAGTCAAGACATTTCCGAATATGTCTAAGTACAAACCAGCAGAGACCCTACGAATCCTGTATATCTCTTATTTACAGTTATTCTTAGCATGACGAAAGTAACAATAACACTCATTTCGTCCTATGCATAGAATTTAGATGCATCTCACAGTTCTTATAATGGGCTTTTAGAATCAACAATTATTATTTGTCATTTTTACTCTTTATTACACTATTATCACTGAGTCCAAGTCCAAGGACAGGTCGAGCAATGGTTCTGGGGTATTGGCAAGTTGCCCCTTTCCCCAAGGAAAATTCATTTTGGCGGGTAAACCCTGTTTAGTTAGCATCAACCAATATCTCCCAGCCTTGAGAAATTCTTCCAAATGACAATGATTAATAACTCTAAAATTTATGTAAAAAATAAATAAATAATTTAAAAATGACGCTAATTAATAACTAAAATTTACGCAAATATGCGAAAAATCTTTGTAGTGTCTTTTTCGGATTAATCAGGGCTACTCAGAAAAGCTTATCTTCAGTCTTTTCAATTCATTGTTTTTTAAAGGAAAGGTGATAATGCGTTTGCGACGTGACGTGATTACCATCCTAACGACTATTTTGTAACCATGTTTTTTATCAATACACTATGTTCACATCATCAAGTTGGAAAACAACTAAAATCTGATATTCGTTGCTCACGACACGTTGGCTGTAGTATTGTTTTTATTTTGACAATTAAAGACAAAAAAAAAAAAAATCTGAGAGAAAGCTAAGTTGGGACACTCTGAAATGTGGAATCAGAATTTTGCCAAATGGGGTAATGGGTAAGAAATATACCATTTTATGTTTTACCGTGAATGGCACAATGATAAGAAATCACTTTTTATAGCGCTTTTGTTGGTTTTGCTTTTCTTATTGGCGATGGTGGGATTTTAGTTGATAAAACTAAGATTGGTACCAAACACACGTACACGTGCTGGTTTTTGTTGGGACTTTAAAGAAATGATTGCACTGAAGTGTCCTTCCTGAATATTTCATGCCGTTATCCGCCCGTAGGAAAGGCAGAGAGTTAAGCCACAATCAATTCTCCACTATGCCATGGAAGATGATTTTAATTTTTCACAATCGGGTATATATCCTGTGCAAAAGATATAAATCTGATTTCTTTTGCCGTTGTTTGTTTTTCCTTTGATTCTGTTTTATATCTGCATGCTTCGTAAAATTCGAGAAACACTTCTTTAAAAGCAAGGGCATTGTTATTGGAAAGCAACTGTTCCTTAAACACGCGTGCATAGGCCTACATGTATGTCAGAAATATGCACACACTGGACTATAGAAGTGTCACCCCTACTGAACCAATACTTTGGGGGAGATAAATGACTGTGAAATGATATGCTCCTGGTATCATTTAATTAACATCAAATTTCATAAAAGAAACGGTTCTGACTGAACCATTCAACTGTATTGATATTCTGACATTGCTTATACTCCGCCTCTTCAGGTTAATAACTTTGATTACTCTGATTCAGGGGGTGACACTTCAGTCCAGTGTGTGTAATTATGTACAAATCAGCACCGTGTGCAAAAGAGGTGATACAGTGCCATGTAAACACAAAAGAAAACATCACACGACAACGCACATTGGCACTCGTGTTGAACATTAATGTTGCCTCGGCACTGAGTAAAGTATAGGCTGTTAATATCTAAGATTTTCCACCAAGTGCCAACGCAAATTAAAATCAATATTTAGCAGAGGTGCCAATTATCCCCGAGTTTTGTCTCCTCTTCTCACTTCGAGATTCTGTTTTTCTTCGTGTGCGTGTGGGTTGGTGAGTGTGTGTGTGTTTAAGAACAACTGCTACCAAAAATCAATGCTCCGGCTTTCAAAGAGAATGTTTTTAGTATTTATAGAACGGACTGCAAGGAATAGGAAGCAAAGTAAAAAACGAAATAAAGATGAGTGAAAATAAATGCATTATCTGTTGCCCGCCCTTACTTCGCAGGTTATATTAAAAGTTAACGTCTCAAGGCGACCCTTTGCTCTACTGACTCGGTTCAAGCTGATTAAAAAGTGAATTGTGGTAGAAAAACCAGATGTTGTATAACGATTTTTGTAAGTATGGAGAAAGACGTGAAACATTTATTAACGACACTTTCAAAAAAACAATACAAACTTTTTCTTTAATTCAATTGCCAACAACAATAAATAATGCATTATTTCCTGACATTTCTGAAATTATTTGCAAGCTCGAAGCAAAGATGTGACATGTGAAAAAAAACCTTGACATTGGGGCTCTCTTTTGTTCTAAATCTATTCTTAAAGAAATGCACGCCCTACAGTTAAAATAATGAATTTGTATCTGGACTTAAGCATTTGTACATTGTACAAATGACGCATTCGACAGACCTGTGTAGTGACGAAAATCGTTGACAATCCGTGATGTGGATTTTCAATTTATTCCTATGGTCCACGGCGTTAGAATTTTGTTTGAAATATGGTGTCACGGCAGCTACTGTTAATTTATGTGGCGGCCTCTCTCGTGAGATTAAATGTGCCCATTTTCAGCAAGTTTTCGCCAATTATACCGCAACCTTCATATTGGACACGGTTGAAGCGAACACCAAGTTGGAATGTACCAGGAAATGTGAAGAAACAGACAGGTGCGCTGCAGTTGTATTCAAGAAGCATGATCACACATGCGATATGCTACCTGAACCACAAAACGTCTCGCAGTTTTCTTCTAGTTCCCCGACTGGGATATGGTTGACCAATGTCAGAGACATCTCCGTAAGTATTTTCCCCTTTTTATGTTATCCTAAAAACTATATAAATCAGACGCACATCAGAGGATCCGGCGGGTAGGTGCCGGCCTATAGCCCTCAACTTCCAGTCCCGCACTTCCCGCCTCCTAAATAAGTAAAGACCAACAAAGCAGAGCAATGAAAAAAAAAAAAGAAAAAAAAACATCATACGTAAAATGACAAGTAATTCCGAATTATCTTCTCATTGTGTATTGTCTTCTCCTAGTGTCAACGTCCCTCTGTCAAAGTGCAATGCACCACCAGTGCACCGCGTGGTGACATTTCTTTTAAATAAGCAGGACCAAAGGAATATAATTTATTACCACTGGAAATCCGATCAATTGAGTCTACCAAATATTAAAAAAGATAATTGAAGACATGCCTATTCAGGATTTATTTTGGATGAATCGACTTTAAAATTGTTTTACAAATTTTATAGAAATTTCATTGTTGCACTGTAAGAAATAAGGCTGCTCTACCTATAATCTTTTTTGTGTGCAAATAAGGCTGTTATTTATCTAGAATTGATTATATTTTCTTAAAAAAAACATATTTTAGTTATGTACTGTAAGTGCTTTTAGGCGAGAATCTTATGTTTTATCTCGAATACTTTTAATTATTTTTTGTCTTTAAGCTCCGTAATATTTCATTTATCTATTCCTAATAGTTGATTTCTTAAGTAATTGTTTTATGTATATGTAAAGTCTTCTGAACATGTTATAATGGATTTTAGACTCATAATAAATATATATTATTTATTATTTATTTACTATTAACTCAGCTCACACACTAGTCTCAGTTGCTTATTTGCAAGTATAGAAAATAGTACAGATGATGTGTATCCAGCGATGGATATGTTCTAAAATAGTTTCCAAAAGAAGGATCTCGATGGTCTATAAGGAGATGTGAGAAAAACATTTCCTCCAGCAACCAGGTGGCAATCATTTAGTGGGGCGTTCTTTTGTTCCGTTTGCACATTTGCAAATGCAAATGATATTGCGATTTATCCGTTGTTTATTACCTAACGAGTATCGTAATGTTTTTTTTTCTTATTTTCATATAAACACCTTCCTTTTGTCCCTTTATTCTTTGGCTAAATGCTTCTTTCAATGTTCTCTGTAATTACACGAGCAAAATATTAACCGGCATGATCAACGAGTTGAGTAATTTATAGAAGATAGAACAGATTATATTAAGGAGAACCGTTTAAAGCGCACCAGGTCCATATGGCCTGGTAAACTACCATCACCATTACTTAAATATGTTAAGCAG